GATGGATGGTGACATGTGTTGTCAGGGTTTGTCTAAGAGTGGGCCAGTCTGCTGGTCTGCTGCCCACAGGACTCTGGAAGGCTCCCAGGGCCAGAGCTGCTCATGATGTACAATAATATGATAAAACAATTTGCTTGAGGCAGGAGTACCTTTTTATAATCCCACAAAGGCACTACATGAACTACTAGGAGCTCTGCCTATAGCTACACAGAAAATATTTGATATGATTTTGGAGCTGATCACTCACTCCTCAACTCCTCATAACTCGAGCTAGAGCCATATGGGCATCAGCAGCCTTAAGGCAGCAGCACAGTATCCAGCAGCACCAGAAGAGGATCAACCCAAATGTCTTTCCATAGCAGAATGGTTAAGTTTGGTACAGTTGTGATGTGGAATGTTACTCAGCAATGGAAAACGGCAGACTACTTCCACATACCACATGAATAAATAACCAACATAATGTTGAACAAAATCAGCCAGACACAGAGTACAAACCATGTATATCCATGGATATAAAGTTCAAAAACTGGTCAAACTAATCCTGGTGTTAGAAGTTGTGAGGGTAGTTCCTGGAGGCATTGGTGTGTGGGGGTAGGAGCCTTGGGTTGTACTGATGGACTCCTTGACCCAGATGCTATTTGTTAGAGTGTGCTCTTCGTGAACATTTGTCCATCTTATGTTTTGTGCACTTAATACATTACTCCTACCTCCCCCAAAAGCCTCACTGCTGTTCCTGCTTTCAATAGCTCCTTTTCAGAGTGAATTACAGGGAGAATGTTCAAGCCTCAGAATCAGTTGGCACCTCCTTCCTTTGCTGGCCCTGACTCTCCTGTGTCTGCTGGTGAGGTCAGGCAGCAAGGACATTCCAGGTCCTGGTTCTGATTTCCTCACAGCTCTTTTTTTCTTTGACATGGGCCATCTCTTGTGGGTCTTGCCCTTTCTTAGCTCTTTCTCTTTAACCTGCTGGTGTCACTTGATTGTCACTGACTACTGCTCTCCCACTCTCACCTAACAGCTCCATTTTATGGCTGTGTAGTCAGGTCACTTGCTGGGTAAATGTCCCATGTGCTGGTGGCTCCCCATCTGTCTTTACGCCCAGACCCTGAGTCAAGGTGTAACTGGCTCCTGAATCTGACCCGCCTTGCTTCTGTGGTGTTGCTGATCCTCACCCAGGTTTCATTATCTACCTCTAGTGCTGTGGTTTTCCCTTCCAGGCCACCTTCTGGCTGGCTACCAGACTCATCTCCCTAAGGGGTACTTCTGGCTATGTCAGTCTTTAGCTTAACTGCAAACAGCGGTTCCCCGTCTTCTGCAGAGTGCAGCCCCTGTGCACCTCTTGTTCTCATGCCTCCTGTGCTCTTCAGGAAGAGCCTCCAGTCCCCAGATCTTAAGGTTGTGGATGGGTGGGTAGTGCCTGCAGATTCCTTCATATTCCTTTGCTCAGTTGTCTCTGCTGTTCCCTCTGGCTCGAAATCCATTCTTCAGTACCCTCAGATTTGGTTATTTCTGCTTCAAAGCACTTTCCATCTGTTAGATGATTTTTTCCCCTCCTTTTGGACATTTCTTTTTCTTTGAAGCTGTTTGTTTGCCCACCACATCCTCACCTCTCACTTGATTATGAACTTGGGGAAGGCAGAGCTTTGTTCTTGTTTTCCCTGGCAGTGCCAGAGGTTTAGGCATTTAGTAAGTGTAGATAGTGGGTGGGTGGGATAGATCAGTGGATGGTCTGGTGCAGGGGAGTATGAGGGATATGAACACAATTGCTTAGTGTCAGGCCCCTCCTTTGCATTGATTGTTTATTGTGAAAATAGTATTATTTATATCTTCTCTGTTTTAGTTTTTAAAGAAAGGGAAGAAAATGAAAAGATTGGATACAAGTGATTTATGTGAATTCCTCTGGGACAAGCCTCAGTTCTCGGACACCATCACTCAGGAATTTCTTTACTGCTGGCAGCTCCCGGAGCCTCTTTGTTGGCATGTGCCTCTGATTTGTTGGAATGTGAACTTGGGTTTCAGAAAGTGAGGTATTTCACAGCAGAAGCTTAGACCAGAAAGCTGCTGAATATGAGTGTGGTTGCAGTATGCCCCATTTTACACCAATTAAGCAGAATTCTAGGCTTCTGGTCCGTGGCCAGCACAGACCCCAGGGGACTCAGCTACAGCTCTGTGGTTCCCTATCTGCAGAGCCTTACAACAGTCCTTCCAGTGATTTGAATGTAGTAGATTTTGTGCACTAAATATGGGCTTTGTTTTGAAAAATTTAGTTAGTCTGGTACTTTTTTCCTAAATGCAGTCAGTCTTCTCTCAGCTACATTAAGAAAGGAGATGGTTATGACCCTCCATTCTCCCACTTCTGAGAAAGGAATAGTGATTTCAGTGTCACCAATTTGGGTTTACAGTTGTATATAGTTAAGTAATAGATCTATATATGTTAATTCACATAAAACTCTTGGAACAATCCTGGCACATAGTAAATACTGGGTAAATACTAGCTATCTTGATTTTTTCCCCACACGAGAATGTCTGTGAAGCAGTTTCATTTCATAGTTATAAAATTTGTTACTGAGACAAAATCCAGTCCCCTTCATCCTTTCCTTTTAAAGAATGCTCTTTTCTGGGTCAGTTTTTCTTTGAGCCTGGAAGTTGTGCAGGTTTTTGCCTTCACCACCTATGGCCTCAGGGCTGGGGTTGTGGCAGCTAATTTCGTAACTAAGAATAACTGCATCCAAAGGGCTGTTGAGACATTCAGTGCTCACCACCCCCTGTTACCAAGTGTCATCTGCTCCCAGAGGAAGGATGTGGAAGGTTAAATGACCTGCCCTAGGTCACCCAGATAAGTGACTTGAGTTAGATACTTTGCTGGCTACTAAGGGCAGTATCAGGGGTTGATCTTGATTTTATTTTCTGAAAGCAAGAACAACAGTATTCAGTGAATTGGGCCTGCAGTAAGTATAATCACTGTTGGAAAATGCTGAAGTCATTGCTGATCTATGTTTACAACTTAAATTTGTTCTTAATGTGGTGACAAAGCACTTTAAGAAATCACCCACATGCCTTTACCATCTCTTTCCGTATAAGTATCAATTTACACAAGAAAGATTTTTATTTTGGTATTTAGATCAGAATGCTAATAAGATGTTGACAAATTTATAAACAATCAAGGAAGTAGTTACCTTGAAAGTCTCCTGATACATGTTGTGCTGGAACTACTTTCAATTGTAATATAGGACACCTTCAGTGTGATAAGTTTTGTGGTATCTTTCAGGAAGTTTGGGAGAAAAAAATTTCCAAAGAGAGGGAAGGATCGCAGCTTCAGGTGGGTGAGAAGTTGGTGAAGTCCCAGGATAAAGGACAACAGTATGGGTCAGGAGTTGATGGCTTATTAGGAACGAGCCAGAAATCCAAGACCCCATGTAAGAAAGTTTAACTGCAATACTCAAGCTCTGGATTTCAAAATGAAATTATATTATAATAAAGTATCTTAAATGAGCCATCAGTTGTTAATACTATTGTTCTTGCCTTGAGTTGAATATTTATTAGTATCAGCTTGTGGAGATTGGCTCTGTTGCAGATTACATAGTCCAGGAAACATTTTGGGACAACGCTGGATGTCATGTACTCTAACTGGAGTCGAAACCGTTTTATTGTCATTTCTGAGAGATGACGTGTTCTTTCTTAATCTTTCCAAATGGAATATTTTCAAGATCATTGTCCATTTCTTAAAAGTATTATTAACATTATATGAAAACTACAAATGAACGTTGTCTTTCTTTTTCAGATGGTGTGTCTCTTCAAAATGAAGGCTCTGGAAGCTTTTGGGTTCTCTACAGAAACTACAAAAATTGAAGGAAAGAAAATATTTAAAAGAAAATTGTTTTGAAACTATGTTTACAACTAACTGATAACTGTTCACAGTTTTTAAAAATAAATCTCTTTAAGAAGATTATATTTATGGTAAGAGGAAACTGGACTAACAATGAGGCCAAAGACTTTTCCTGCCACGACTTACTCTGGAAACAGCCGGCAGCGACTGCAGGAGATCCGCGAGGGGCTGAAGCACCCCCCCAAGTCTTCCACTCAGGGGCCACCTGTGGGACCAAGTGACACTTCCCTGGATACCAAGGTCCTGGGGGGCAAGGATATTGCCCGGCAGCAGCAGCCAAGAGCTGCCCCGAAGTTTGGCCCCTACCAGAAAGCCCTGAGGGAGATTCGATACTCCTTGTTGCCCTTTGCCAATGAGTCAGGCTCCCCGGCAGCTGCAGAAGTGAACCGACAGATGCTGCAGGAGCTGGTGAACGCGGGCTGTGACCAGGTGGGTGAGCTCCGTGGGCCCACGTGGCCATCACAGGAAGGGGTTCCCATGGAGGTGCTTTGAGTGGGGTCACAACTCCGAGAATGGTCTCCAGGTTAGAAGCCTAGGGCCCTTTATGTAGATCATTGAACTGATTTCCATTTTCTCTCCGAAAGGGCCATTTTAGCTGCTTTTCCTATTCAGGCAAGATCCAGAAGTTTCTGGATGCTGCTGAATTGTGCCATGTGTATATCCTGGTCTGTCCTTGAGAAGGTCTCTCATGTGGAGCCTTTTCTGTGGGGTTTAGTTGGGCTTATTCTGAGCTGTCATGCAGAAAAAACTGGTTTCCCTTATTTTTGGTTTGTGCATTTTTACATAGTTAAACGGGAAGGTTGATTAGTACAAATTGGCAATTCCTTGACTATTTTCTTGTATTTAAAGAATAGTCGATACGCTGTTATGGGAGATGTATTATAACTATGTTACATCTAACTTCGCACATTAGGGAATCAGAAAGACTAGAAAAATCTTGGAAATGGTGGCAGCACAGGCTGATTTCTCAGTTGCTTAAGGATGAGGACACATTAATAGAAGTGGCACTAATCATGCATACCTATATAACTTTTAGCTGTACCTTTATGATCCTATAGCAATTCACAAAGCTGAATAAAATCCTAGTCAAGGGGCAGGGCCATATAAAATGGAACCAGTTCTCAGCTTGGCAGTACATGTTCTAAAATTGAAATGAAACAGAGAAGATTAGAATGGCCCCTGTGCAAGGATGACATGGAAATTTGTGAACGTTCCATATTTTTATTGGTAATTACAAAGTAGTCACGAGGGTGTAAAGTGAAGCACAAGGAATATAGTCATTAATAGTGTAATAACTATGTATGGTGCCAGGTGAGTATTGGAAATATTGGAGGAGGGATACTTTGTAAAGTATATGATTGTCTAACCACTATGCTGTACACCTGAAACCAATAGAAAATAATATTGAAAATAAACTGTAATTGAAAAACAAAAATAAAAAAAAGCACAAAGAAATAAAAATAAAATAAAGTGAGACCAGTGTAAAGCCAAGGTAAAAATGTAATTAGTAAAAATGTAACTAGTAAATATGTAGTTGCTTTTTAAAATGACTTCTGAAAGCCAGTCCTTTATTACCATCTGCCATCTTAAAAGTCACAGTTGCACGAAACTGGAAATAAGTTAGGTATTTTTGCTGCCTTGGAAAATTATGAATATTTTGTGGTCAAACCACATTAGGTCAGCTTCAGCACTTACAGTTTCCTAGAAATAACCTAATTTTGCACTTCTGGCATCACAGTCACAGGAGAAGGCTAACAGTACCCTGTTTTATGTCCCAAAGTCATCTCAACCCTACTGTTGTAGTTCATTACTGTAGAACTTACCTGGAGAATTGACATTTCTCAAATGATATGTTTATGGGACTAAATGATATTTCATAGGGCCTTTCTTGACACTTTGGGATATACTGGGACTAACGTGTGTGAGCATTTGTCATGTTGAGAGTTGTTTTTATCAAGCTCAGGATCATAAGTGATTTGCTGGGGAGTGTTCCAGCAGTGAAAGCTGACAGCAAAGGTATGACCTTTCTTACTGTGAACATGTGAAGTTAGATATGCTGCCAAGTACTGCCCCCTATAAGCACAGTTGGGTGGTTTGAAAGTAGGGAGTGGTCCTGGGGAAATGCTGGTTTAAGACCTGTAGCCCAACGGCAAAGCTGAAACTCTTCTCCTAGAAATCACTTATCAACAGAAGAAGTTATCAGAGCTCTTGTTTTTTGTGGCTGTGTTTCAGCTGTGACAAAAAGAATCAACTCAAGCAAATAATCCGAAATACAGGTGGGATCTTATTATGGTAAAATCCATCACCGATAATTATAGTGCAAGAAATAATGAAGCTGGTTCTGTTTCCAATACAGTAAAATACAAATACGATTAAATGGAGGGTCACAATACCAGTAAAATTCCCAATGAGCTTGGTGTGTAATGTTACTTTTATAAATTAAAACAACTCTGCCATCATGGTTACCCTCCAATTCAGACTTTTTTGGTTTGATAAAGTGCCTTTGCTTTCAGAGAATTTTAGTTGGAAAGTCACTTTGTGAACCCAGATAATGTGAGAGAAAAATACCAACAGCACCTTGAAAGCTGTATCTTAAATAAAGCAGGTTGTTCAAATTCCAATATAATAGGTACAGAGAATTCCTGTTATTGGAGCTTTTCCCCTTTGTCTTCTATTGTAGTACCTTTTAATTGAGGTTTCAGTTTTGATCTCTAGTAGTTTGGTTCAAAGAATCATTTTAAATCCTATATTCATCAGAATAGCAATAAACTCTGTGTTTTTCTGAGGTCTTACAGTTGGCTTAGTGGTAATACACATTTTCTTATGCAATATTCTGTCTGTTGCATGCACACACACACACATTTTCCATTTTATTTGGACTAAGACTTACTGAAAATATTTGAAGGTTTATAGATGAGTATTTTTTAAAAAACTTTTTGTTACAGTAAAATTATGTAAGAAGAGTACATTATTCCTAAGCATACAGCTCAGTGACTTTTACCCAGCAAATTATACCCATGGAACTAGCAGGTACAGGTATATTTTTAATTAAAATATTTTAAAATAGAAATTTCTAGAAAAGTAAAGGACTTTAAGTATTTTCTGTCTAATGATTTAATGTACATGTCAAATGATACAATATTCATAAATCTTCTGCATATAAATTCCTAAAGACATGAAAATTTCTATGGGAAAAAGCCAAGGTAAATAGAGTGATGTTCCTTAAGGAAGGAGCTATTATTTAAATATAAATGTAAGGAAATGGACAGATGTTTTGGTTATGAGTGTCATATTTTGTGTCATTGGATACTCATTACTGAAATAATAAGTTCCATTTAGCTTTTTTTATAACATTTAGTTTCACTTTTTCTGGTCATCTTTGTGGTCTCAAATGCCCAAATTACTAGGTTTTCCCTCTTTTTCTTTTTGACAGAGTTTTAAAAACCACTGGTTTGATTTTGCAGTGATATTAATATGTGTAACAGTTCTGCCTCTCAGAAGGACGTTACTTGTGTTCTCAGTGGCAGAGGGCTAACAGGCTCACTGCACTCAGAGTACAGGGTATGCAGGGAAGGTAGGGCTTGGGGAGCCAGCCACTGATTCAGTGGCTCCCAGACCCTTAGCCATGTGTGTGTGTGTCCCCTGGAGGAAGACAGGTGAGAGACTTCTTTCAGACATCTGCACAAGGAAATACTTTGAGCAGTTGCCATATGCTTTTTTTCTCTTTGGACAACCTGCGTCCTGACCTCCCTGAGTCTCCCTGAGCCTCCCTCGCTGATCTGTGTGAGGAGTGCCAGGTCTGGCAGCTTTGCAGACTCTTAGGGCCCTGGCCTAGCGGGCTATGTTCCTCTGGTCCTAAATTTCTGTATCAGTGTAATTATCCTAATTCTGATTTAATATTGTTGGTGTTTAAGTGATTTAAATCTTTAATGGATTGAGGTTAGAAAGAAATGTAAACACACAAATCAATTTATTATACCAAATTCAGCAGAAGAAAAAAGCCAATGGTCAGGATGTGCATTCAGAGGCAGGCTTCCTGAGAACAATGGTCACAGCAGAATAAGTCAGGGTGATCTGGTTAGTAGGAAAAAGGGATGAATTCTTTGCATTCTAAAGTGAAACAGTGCAGAAAGGCAAGCTTTTCATCCTATCCTACACAGTAATCCTCAAGCCCAGGATCTTTTGTCAAATGAGAGAGACCTGCAGAAGGGTGAGACCGGCTGGAGCCCTCAGATTCCTCCCCCTACCCCTCAGGATACACCTGGTGTTTGAGTAGCCCACAGGCCAAGCACTGGCCACAGGCCAAGCACTGGCCACACACAACCTCACTGAAACCATATAGCAGTGGTTTGACATGGACTCCAGTGGCCTTCCCAGCATTTCAGAGGAAATGACAGCATTAGGGATCACGCAGGTGGCTGGAGCTCTGCTCTGCCCACTGCCCTGCTGCACTGTTATGACCTGTGTTCCCAGCAGGTGCCAGTTAGATGTGTTTGTTACGCACACGTGAGGGGAGAGAGAGTAGTGCTCCCTTAGTGTAGCCCCTGCATACTGCTAGTCTCCTTACTGTGGATTACTGCAGCCATTGTCAGTGCTGTGTTTTCTGATGTGTGTCCTGTCCCATGGGGGTTATTCTCTAGGACTTCTTCCTCTCTGGCTCTGGTTGCCTGCAGCCTGCTAGCTGGTCCTCTCTGGGGAACCCCCCTTACTTTTCCCCTGTGCTCCATGGCCTGGCCTGCTCCCAGGCACTTTCTCAGTGGCTCCTTGTGGGGCACTTTTGACATCTTGTTTTGTTGGCTGGTAATGCTGCCTTCCACCTTCCTGTGTGTGGTTGTGGGCATCTGTTGTGTTTCAACGCATTTTCCTTTTACCACAGGGTCTTTCTGATTCTTCCAGCTGCATACAGGCTGCTGTTGTCCAAACAATCATTTATTTCTAACCCCCAGGGGGCTGGTGTGTTGGGCCTGTGTTGGCAGATTGCAGTGCCCAGCCCACTCCCTGTGTGCAGCTGCTCCTGGGGCCTGAGTGCCCATGGGATGTGCTCAGTCAGCGGTGAATAGAGAGCTTTGCAGAGATGAGCCCATAGACCAACAACCACAACAGCCCTAGCTCATTCGCCAGATGTTGACATGGACAGAAATATGACTTTGCATCATTTACTTTGTTTAGCTCTTAACAGTATGCACCATCAGGAAAGCTATAGAGATGCCAAGACAAAGGCTAACACTAAACCACCCTTCCTTTATCTGAGACAAGATCCTGCCTGAGGATTACTTCACCTTAATATAGGCATTTTACTAATAAAAAATATTAAATCATTCCTCTTGGGTGGGAATGACTTTTCAGTGTTACTGAATACTCAGTGCTGCCCTGAAATATTAATAAGAGGAGGGGAAAGAAGAAACACTTAAGTTTAGGAATGTCAGTGATGTCACAGGAAGTTGTATTACAATAGATTTGGGTGTAGCAGTTCCTTGCTTTTTCCCCCTTCTTCATTTTTTTACTTTCAAATAAAATTTGGCCCTGCCAAAAGATAAACTATACCATTTTAAAGTAGGATTTTTAAAAAAATGGCAGGTTGATTTTATTTATTTAAATGTCAAAATCCATTATAAAATATTAAAAAATTTAAATCCATTATAAAGTCTCAACAATTAAAACAATGTGACACCAGCACAGAAATAATCAAGTAGATCAATGAAATAAAATGAGCATTCTAAAACCAAATGTATATATCTAACTGTAATATATGATTAAATTGATATTTCAATCAATGGGGAAAATAAGGCTTATTCAACAAATAAGGTGCATGGACCACAATTGCTTGAAATAAAACAAACATGGAGCCCTATTTCACACATTATACAACAGATATTCAGGTAAGTTAAAAATCAATATGTAAAATCTAAGGAGTTTTCAGAGAAAATACACAATAATATTTTTCTTACCCTGAAGTAAAATATTCAAACCCAGAAGCTATAAAGTAAAATATTGACTACATTAAACATTTAAGACTATACACTAATATACATATAAAAAAAGGTAAAGGACAAGTAATAGAATAGGGAAGTATTTGCAACACATCTAAAAAAGGGTTAATAGTTTTTTGGGTTTTTTTATAGGGGAAAAAATTCTACAAACTTAATCAAAAAAATGGATTACCAAAAAGTCATGTAAAGCTTTTTTTAAAAAAAATAATAGAAATAGGCAAGAAATATAAAAA